AGGTCAAATAAGTTTCTCAGTAGCAAACATCTAAATTAATTTATAATTATTTTACTAAGTGAATTTACTCACACTATTTCAGTAATCATTGAATTGAAAACAAAAGTGCAAACATATAATTGATTAACATTTTAAATTAGTTTATTGCTGAAATTGTTTTCTAATATTTTTAAAGTTGTGAAATTTTACTCTTTTTTTTTGGGGGGGGGGGGGATAATAAAGAAGAACTGTTATTTAGTTGTTTAAGAAGTGTCACATTTATATATTTAACTACTCATTGGCATAAGGGGGGGGGGGGGCGCGGGGGGGGGGGGGGCTGATGAAAAGGGATAAAAAATGTGTTTACAAAAAGCTCATTTTAATCAATTTATGCTGAAGTATTGAATCATACACAGTCAAAGTTAAGAAAGTAAACTGCTACAAGACTACACACTGATTCAAATTTTCTCTACCTCAGTTGTGTAGTACAAAGATAAAAATTGTTACAGGATAGTGACTGGTAAAAAAGTGCCACCACATTTTCCAAAGGGGGGGGGGGGGAGAGGAGATAGCAATTTTATGAATAACAATTTATAAATGGGAGGGGTGGGGTGCAAAATTGAATCTACTTTAACTAAACTAAATGGTTTAGAAACAGTTACTTTTAAAAATTACAAATGCTATGCTACATAGCATTTTATAAAGACCACTTCCTAATTAAGGAATGTCAAACTCCCTTCCATTCAGCGCGGGGTTAAGTCGTTATTGCTTTTTAATAGGTTAAATTATGTCCTGGAATTTTGGTTTTTCTCCTGGAAAACTCCTGGAATTCTCCTGGAATTTCAAGTTCACTTTGGTGTAGGAACCCTGAATGTAACCGCCTCTAACCTATACACTAACTTGATGTAATGTAACCGCATCTAACCTATACACAAACTTAATGTAACCACCTCTAACCTATACACTAACTTGATGTAATGTAACCGCCTCTAACCTATACACTAACTTGATGTAATGTAACCGCATCTAACCTATACACTAACTTGATGTAACCGCCTCTAACCTATACACAAACTTGATGTAACCGCCTCTAACCTATACACTAACTTGTAATGTAACCACCTCTAACCTATACACTAACTTGATATAATGTAACCTCCTCTAACCTATACACTAACTTGATGTAATGTAACCGCCTCTAACCTATACACTAACTTGATATAATGTAACCGCCTCTAACCTATACACTAACTTGATGTAATGTAACCTCCTCTAACCTATACACTAACTTGATATAATGTAACCGCCTCTAACCTATACACTAACTTGATGTAATGTAACCTCCTCTAACCTATACACTAACTTGATGTAATGTAACCGCCTCTAACCTATACACTAACTTGATATAATGTAACCGCCTCTAACCTATACACTAACTTGATGTAATGTAACCTCCTCTAACCTATACACTAACTTGATGTAATGTAACCGCCTCTAACCTATACACAAACTTGATGTAACCGCCTCTAACCTATACACTAACTTGATGTAATGTAACCGTCTCTAACCTATACACAAACTTGATGTAACCGCCTCTAACCTATACACAAACTTGATGTAACCGCCTCTAACCTATACACTAACTTGATGTAATATAACCGCCTCTAACCTATACACTAACTTGATGTAACCGCCTCTAACCTTTACACTAACTTGTTGTAATGTAACCACCTGTAACCTATACACAAACTTGATGTAATGTAACCTCCTCTAACCTATACACTAACTTAATGTAACCGCCTCTAACCTATACACTAACTTGATGTAACCCCCTCACCTATACACAAACTTGATGTAATGTAACCGCATCTAACCTATACACTAACTTGATGTAACCCCCTCACCTATACACAAACTTGATGTAATGTAACCGCCTCTAACCTATACACTAACTTGATGTAATGTAACCTCCTCTAACCTATACACTAACTTGATGTAATGTAACCGCCTCTAACCTATACCCTAACTTGATGTAACCGCCTCTAACCTATACACAAACTTGATGTAATGTAACCGCCTCTAACCTATACACTAACTTGATGTAATGTAACCTCCTCTAACCTATACACTAACTTGATGTAATGTAACCGCCTCTAACCTTTACACTAACTTGATGTAATGTAACCGCCTCTAACCTATACACTAACTTGATATAATGTAACCGCCTCTAACCTATACACTAACTTGATGTAACCGCCTCTAACCTATACACAAACTTGATGTAACCGCCTCTAACCTATACACTAACTTGATATAATGTAACCACCTGTAACCTATACACAAACTTGATGTAATGTAACCTCCTCTAACCTATACACTAACTTGATGTAACCGCCTCTAACCTATACACTAACTTGATATAATGTAACCACCTCTAACCTATACACAAACTTGATGTAACCGCCTCTAACCTATACACTTACTTGATGTAACTGCCTCTAACCTATACACTAACTTGATATAATGTAACCGCCTCTAACCTTTACACTAACTTGATGTAATGTAACCTCCTCTAACCTATACACTAACTTGATGTAATGTAACCTCCTCTAACCTATACACTAACTTGATGTAACCGCCTCTAACCTTTACACTAACTTGATGTAATGTAACCTCCTCTAACCTATACACTAACTTGATGTAATGTAACCGCCTCTAACCTATAACCTAACTTGATGTAACCTAGCCGCCTCTGAAGTCTTCCATATAAAGCAAGCCATGCAGGAATGGATGGCGGACACCTGCATAGTGTTCCGTCACGCCACAGCTTCAGACAAAAATAAAATTAAAATACAAAATGGAGTAGGGTAGGTCATTTCTGAATTCATAGTTGCAGAGTTTTGAGTTTGAGCAATTTACAATGTTGAACAGTAAAAGACCGAACTATGGCGACACTCTTTCCTGTTAAAGAGGAGATAAGCCTTAGTGTAATACTAACTTACTTGATTGTCTCCTGTGTTTATTTTTAGATGTATGTCACAGCTAGGCATGACGGGAGGAACTCAGATTCTCAACCTGGAGGCGCCTGGGTGTCGCAATGTAAGGCCCTGTGTGTGTGTGTGTGTATCTCTGTGTGTGTTTGTGTGCATGGGGAGTAGTATTATACCACTGTCTAATAACGATAAACTTACATCACCCACATTAGCTCCATTTTAGCGCCAACAATATGCTTCTTTAACCCCCCCCCCACACACACACACAAACACACATAGCTTCACACACATCACACCCTCTTACATCACCCACATTATCCCCCTTACACCCCCACTTATACCAGACTTTCTGCCCCCCCCCCCCCGTCATATGTTGTCCCCCCCCCCCGTCACATGTGTCCCCACCCCCCCAGGGCTTGATGTACCTCCACGAGCTGGGCCACGCCATCGGTCTGGTCCACGAGCACCAGCTGCCTGACCGAGACGAGTACATCAGCATCAACTTCTCCAACGTCGTGGCGGACATGCAGATCTGGTTTGAGAAGTACTCATCAGAGGAGGTCAACACGTACGGCGTGCCTTATGAATATGCATCAGTCATGCATTATGGGATCTCGGTAAGCTTTCAGAGGCCACTCAAATATTTTCAACGGGAAGAGGTTAAAGTAAGCAATTACATAGTCTGGGGTTGTTTTCTTTGAAGAAAAAACCTGCAATAAAAATTTAAAAAAAAAAGCATTCCTCATTTTACATTAAAAGTGTAAACATTTTAAGTAGGAGTATTTTTTTTTTGTTTTGTGTTTAGGAGCGTACTGTTCAGTGGCCAAGTTGGTTGGTTTTAGCCTTTAGGTTATTATTATAAGTAGGCTTTTTTTTCTCATATCCAGTTGGCAGTTTGGCTTTTGTAACCAAATTTTAAAATTTACATTCTCTTAGATTTCTTAAAATTCAATTTCCTTTTTCCAAGAGAAACACTGTATACAAACATGAAAGCACAACAGTACTCCGTCAACCATCAACTGTCGGTAAAGTTCATGTTTTTAAAATCATGAACCAAAATTAAAATCTGTTTTCCCGCCAGGCTTTTTCTAGGGACCAGAAGAAGCAGACGATCCGAGCGTTAGACGAAAGCCGGGAGCAGGAGATAGGAGCTGTGAGAACCAGAAAGCTGGCCTTTTCAGACATCAAGGTCGTCAACCTGATGTACGATTGCGGCAGTAAGTCAACTTTTTCTGTAACAAACTCAAATGTCTCAGTAACAAAGTAAACAGTTTCAGTAACAAATCCAACAATTTCAGTAACAAAGTCAACCTTTTCAGTAACAAAGTCAAACCTTTCAGTAATAAAGTAAACAGTTTCAGTAACAAAGTAAACAGTTTCAGTAACAAAGTAAACAGTTTCAGTAATATCTAGGACATTCGGTCTCATATGGTGGGTTACTTGCGTTAATTTCAAATTTGAGCACACTCAGTTGTAACACGTACCCGGCACTTGTCATAAAACATCATGCGACACAGTTATCTCTACATAATACAGGAACACGGTTTTACTTGACTTCATCACCTCCATACAACTTTAACATTATCTCCCTTATATACCTCACAATACTCACACTACCTAAATTACCTCCCTTACATAAGCCACATTACCTCCCTTACATAAGCCACATTACTTCCCTTACCTAGCGCGTATATTTCAGAAAACTGTCCACCTGACCCCACCTGCAAGACGCCGGGTTACCTGAATAAAACCTGTCACTGTGTGTGTCCCCTGCAGGTCAACTGTAGTCAGGAGAACTTCCACCTCGGCAAGGGTGGGGGGTGGAGGCCGGTGGAGGGTAGGTGCTAGGGTGGGGAGGGGTGGATGTAGGGGTGGATGTAGGGGATTCTAGTAGATCTATTCACGAGTTGTTTAGTTAGCACTGACTGGCCGACGGTTCATTTTCATGCACTAAATAAATTTAGTTTCGTTGTTTATATGAAAATATTGGGGAAAAAACAATATAAAACACATAAAAAACAATTAATTAGCACAGCACACACACACACACACACACACACATACACACACAAATACAAGAGAAAAGCAGAAAAACACACTGACTACATAAGTGACAGAAAACTATTAGACGACCATCTAGCCCAAAAATGCCCATTTTATTAAAAAAAAAAAAAAAAAACTGCGATTAAATAATTTTGAAAAGCACCGATTAATAAATCACCAAAAGAAATCGCCCAAAATAACTGACCTACTTTTCCCCAGAGTGTCGAAACATCTGGAACGACACGGACTGTGAGCCGTGGGCCAAGCGGGGAGAATGTGACCGGAATCCGGTCTGGATGAAGGAAAATTGCCGGAAGTCGTGCAAGAGGTGTCCTCAAGGTCACGTGTCTGTGCATGTGTTTGTCGGTTATGTGCGTGTGTTTGTCAGTTGTAGGCTAAATTAAAATAAATTAATAAAAAAAAAATAAAGGTGGTAAATAAAACTCGTGACCATTGTATGACATTACAATAATCTAGCCCCCCCCCCCCCCACCAACATTACTAAAACCTTAACCCCCCTCCCCCCACCCCCCCCCCCCCCCTCCCCCACCAACAGACTGCAAAAACTTCCAGAACGACACGGACTGCGAGAGTAGAGCTAAAAATGGAGAGTGTAAAACTAATCAGACCTGGATGGCGGAAAACTGTAAGAAGGCGTGCAACCTGTGCTGGGACGGTAGGTTTTTGTAGAAGGTTTGTAGAAAGAAAGGTTCGTGTAGAAGGTTTGTAGAAAGAAAGGTTCGTGTAGAAGGTTTGTAGAAAGAAAGGTTCGTGTAGAAGGTTTGTAGAAAGAAAGGTTCGTGTAGAAGGTTTGTAGAAAGAAAGGTTCGTGTAGAAGGTTTGTAGAAAGAAAGGTTCGTGTAGAAGGTTTGTAGAAAGAAAGGTTCGTGTAGAAGGTTTGTAGAAAGAAAGGTTCGTGGAGGAGGTTTGTAGAAAGAAAGGTTCGTGTAGGTTTGTAGAAAGAAAGGTTCATGTTGGAGGTTTGTAGAAAGAAAGGTTCGTGGAGAAGGTTTGTAGAAAGAAAGGTTCGTGGAGAAGGTTTGTAGAAAGAAAGGTTCATGTTGGAGGTTTGTAGAAAGAAAGGTTCGTGGAGAAGGTTTGTAGAAAGAAAGGTTCGTGGAGAAGGTTTGTAGAAAGAAAGGTTCGGGTAGGAGGTTTTTAGAAAGAAAGGTTCATGTTGGAGGTTTGTAGAAAGAAAGGTTCGTGGAGAAGGTTTGTAGAAAGAAAGGTTCGTGTAGGCGGATTGTAGAAAGAAAGGTTCGTGGAGGAGGTTTGTAGAAAGAAAGGTTCGTGTTGTAGGTTTGTAGAAAGAAAGGTTCGGGTAGGAGGTTTTTAGAAAGAAAGGTTCATGTTGGAGGTTTGTAGAAAGAAAGGTTCGTGGAGAAGGTTTGTAGAAAGAAAAGTTCGTGTAGGCGGATTGTAGAAAGAAAGGTTCGTGTAGGTTTGTAGAAAGAAAGGTTCGTGTTGGAGGTTTGTAGAAAGAAAGGTTCGTGTAGGAGGTTTGTAGAAAGAAAGGTTCGTGTAGAAGGTTTGTAGAAAGAAAGGGAGGTTGTAGAAAGAAAGGTTCGTGGAGAAGGTTTGTAGAAAGAAAGGTTCGTGTGGGAGGTTTGTAGAAAGAAAGGTTCGTGTAGGAGGTTTGTAGAAAGAAAGGTTCGTGTAGGCGGATTGTAGAAAGAAAGGTTCGTGGAGGAGGTTTGTAGAAAGAAAGGTTCGTGTAGGTTTGTAGAAAGAAAGGTTCATGTTGGAGGTTTGTAGAAAGAAAGGTTCGTGTTGTAGGTTTGTAGAAAGAAAGGTTCGTGTTGGAGGTTTGTAGAAAGAAAGGTTCGTGTAGGAGGTTTGTAGAAAGAAAGGTTCGTGTAGAAGGTTTGTAGAAAGAAAGGTTCGTGTAGGTTTGTAGAAAGAAAGGTTCGTGTAGGAGGTTTGTAGAAAGAAAGGTTCGTGTTGGAGGTTTGTAGAAAGAAAGGTTCGTGTAGGTTTGTAGAAAGAAAGGTTCGTGTAGGAGGTTTGTAGAAAGAAAGGTTCGTGTAGGTTTGTAGAAAGAAAGGTTCGTGTAGGAGGTTTGTAGAAAGAAAGGTTCGTGTTGGAGGTTTGTAGAAAGAAAGGTTCGTGTAGGAGGTTTGTAGAAAGAAAGGTTTGTGTAGGAGGTTTGTATTGGGAAGGTAGGTTCATTTAGGAGGTTTATGTCGGGACTCTTGCTTTCTAACACTCGACTAACCAACTGTACTATTCTATAACCAACTGGCGCTTAAATCTTTCCCCAACTGCTAACGCATGATGTTTGCGTCTTCACAGTGTGCAGGGTGTTACTGTTGTGTGCTACGACGTGTGTTGCAGTGTGTGTTACTGTATCTTATATGTGATGCATGTGTGATGCAAGGTGTGTGTAGCAGGGCGTTACTGTATGTTGTGTGTACTTTCACACTGTAAGAACTCATAGAATGACACAGAGTGTGTTGGAGTGTGTGTTACTGTATCTGTTGTGTACTTCCAGACTGTAAGAACTCCTGGAACGACACAGAATGTGACACGTGGGCTAAAAACGGCGAGTGTTCGGCCAACTCGGTATGGATGAGAAGCAACTGCCAGAGATCCTGCAACAGTTGCCACGATGGTATACATTTTTTTCTCACTATCTCGCGATGGTATACATTTTGTTTCTAACTATCTCGCGATGGTATACATTTTTTTCTCACTATCTCGCGATGGTATACTTTTTTTCTCACTATCTCGCGATGGTATTCGTTTTTTTTCTCAATATCTCGCGATGGTATTCGTTTTGTTTTCTCACTATCTCGTATCGCGATGGTATTCGTTTTGTTTTCTCACTATCTCGTATTGGTTTACATTTTTTCACTTTGATGGTATACTTTATTCCTACATCATGACGGTAGGTGTAAACTTTTCCCACTACCCTGTGTATCTTATTATTTCCCATTTAACTTTTTAAATACTCTTACATGAAACGAAAGCTGCTTACATAATGTGTAACGTATCCAAATTCGTTTTCTGAGATTCAGGGGTTCTGTCAGATATTTTTTCTCCAGGGGTGCAACTTAAAAAAAAAATGTTTGGTTTTAAGATGAAGAGATGCCTGAAAGAAACTCTTGCTAAACTAGATCGCATCAGTGAGCCCAACCAGCGAAAATGGGAAAAAATAAGTGAGATAAAAAACCAGGTGTATTCTACTTCATCTACCATAAGTAGGTATTACTTTACTGTTTACAGAATGCACAAATTACCACAATAACAATGAATGTGAAGACTGGGCAAGAAACGGCGAATGCAGAAAAAACCCGAAGTGGATGACTGAAAATTGCCGAAAATCTTGCAAGAAATGTTTTGATTGTAAGTTTTATTTTTAGACGATCATTCCATGAAACTTGGAATAACATAGTTCTAAAGTTTTCAGAAAACGTACAGCTCGTATAGGTTTAAATTCTGCTTTACAGCCACAAATTGCAAAAATCCTGGCCACAAAATAAAACTATGCCACTGTGTGTGTCCCACAGAATACGAAGAAAATTCTGAGAGTCTATTTGTCGAAAGGTGGGATGAAAATGCAGGTAAATCCAAATTAAGTGTTCTGACCTATTGATTAACTATTATTGTATTAGTTATAGTAATTTCAGACTTTTAAAACATATACAAACTAGAAAAATATCATTGATAATAAAATTAGATTAATGCTATTGAAAATCCAGTAAAGTAGATAGTAATTATAAATTAATTATATTTATATATTACATTATTACAATTATAATTAATGTATGTATGTAATGATGATTTATGTTACAATTACAACATTATAACACATTACTACACCATCATAATAATAATATAAAAATAATTAAAATATGAATACATTACATTAACATTGTATCATAATGATCATAAATAACATACTAAAAAGAATAATTTAGAAAAATATATGAAATCAATTATATTATATAATTTATAACCCTACCCTTAACTTTTTAACTTATTTTTAAAAATATTCTGATTGAAATAAAATTTTAGTATTTATTACTTTTTAATTTTATCCCTCCAGAATGTAAAAATAAATGGAAAAATGAGACTGAATGTGAAACCTGGGCACTCAATGGTGAATGTAAAATAAACAAACATTGGATGAGGAAAAACTGCAAAAAATCTTGCATGAACTGTACTGATGGTAGGTTCTTATCCCAGTCTTAAATCCTGGATGTATGGTAAAGCAGTAGCCTATCCCCTTAAGATGCTATATGGAGATGAAATATATTATGTTATTCTTCACCCAATGCCCTCTGTTTTCCTCAGACTGTAAAAATATTTGGTCAGATACAGAATGTGAGAACTGGGCCAACACTAGCCAGTGTGAGATCAATAGAAACTGGATGGAAAAACACTGCCAGCAATCTTGCAGTGCTTGCTCCAACAGTACTTTAAATGGTATGTACCAGCTGATCACTTTCTCTCTTCTTTTCAGAACTTTCTTTAGCTGCTGTAGTTGTGTTTACTGTCATTGATATGTCACTTGTTAGTTGATACATGTCATGCACTTAATACCAGTTTTATAAATTCATTTTCATTTAGGCACACTTATTAATTCTACATACACAGTGATAAATACTGCAGACACCGTGAAGAATGCTAGTGTAATGCACACTACAGCAGTAACATCTACTGCAACATCAGAGTCAAATAATGAAACAAAAAATGTAACATTGGTCACCACTGGAACACACAATCAACAAGTGAGTGTGTCACCATCAACCATCGCGTCACCACCACCCACCATGCCACAGCCACCAACAACAGCTAGGACTACATCAGCTCCAGTACTAAAAAAGCCAGGTTGGTGCATCTGTGTGAAGCTTTTTTCTGTGTTTTTTACTTATTTATTTACAGCACTAATTAATTCTTGTTTTGGTGATTTTAATTAATTATCTATTTTCTGCATGTTTATCCATGTTAATTACATCTCTAGTCAACCCTTTTGTTTTCTGTATTTTAACTTGCTGTTTTTTTCTTTACATAAATGAATTTGAAAAAGAAATGATTAGAATATATTTGGTGTTCCGATAGCAACCTGCATCAACAAGTGGGGAGACAAACCCTGCGGCCTTTGGCAGGCCAGAGGGGATTGTAAATTTAATTCAGCCTGGATGAAACGCAACTGTGCTCTGGCCTGTGATAGCTGTGATGTCTAAACTTTTAACTGACCCCTAAAATATTGACTGACCCCAAAACTTGGACAGTGATACCTCAGACTTTATTGACCCCAAGAAACCTGATTCAACTTCAGTGACACCTCACACACATACACATCAACTAATGTAAGAATCTGCTAAAGATTTGAACTTGACTCATAACAAAATACTTGTCAGTAACCATTAAAACAATGTGTAAATAGTTTCTTGTAACCCCTACAGATTTTACTATGACTTGAGAGGAACTCTTACCATTTTATTTGGGCATAAAAAGTCTCATGTATTGCAATTGTTTTGAATGCCATAAAAATGATCAACGCCTTACTTAAGACAGCTGACTAAAACGGACTTTGACTTCTTCATGATCACAATAAGCCCATCTCAGTACTAACCTCATTAGCATTTAGTTCACTTGCTGTATGCTCACTTTCTCCATCAGCTATGATAAGTTTTTGAATAATTTTGTTACATGTTAAAATAAATCAAATGAGTTACAAGCTTTGTTGGGCTATTTTTTTATACCAGTGTCTGAAAAATCTCTTTGATTGTTAGATGTAAAATGTTTTCTCATATAACTTCCTTAACACTCTCAACCGGCCCTAGTGGCCACGCAACACCCCTATTTTTGGAAGTGGTGACAGTGACAGCCAGTGACAGGGAAAATCAAATCATCAATATTTGCTTTTTAAAATATTTTTAAATGAAGAAAATCAAGTATAAAAAATAACTCATAGTTCTCTATTTCTTTATTAAATGCTTGTATTACATGTCATATTTCTGAAGGACAATTTTAATCATCATATTTGTTACACAAAAAATAGTCAAAACAAAAAAGGATTTGTTCCCTGTCTGACCTTGTTTAGTTTTGGTTATATTGTGACAAATTGGTCTATCCAAATACCACAACATAACAATAGTTATAACAATCTAATATTGTCCAATATAATTCAAATAATTTTTGTTCATCGTCTAAAAACCACTAAAAAGTGCTATTTTGTAGTCAAACATTAGGCTTGAGGATTGTTTTTTTATCCTTTCCATGAAATCAAAGTATAAATCATGAACAATTTCTACAAGTACTGGTGGTAAACCTTAAGTAGGTGGTTAATTTCCCAGCATACACCTGTGCTCAACACTAGCTCATACAAGAGCAAGTGTTTTTTTTCTTCTGCTCACAACTAAAAGTTTTTGTACTGCATGACAAACTGGCCACAGCTGAGAGTAATTGTTGCAGTAAAAATAGGTTTACATAATACAGCGGTGTCAGTTGCTTATGTTTGGGAAAATATTTTCCAACAGCTATCAAAGCCCTTGTTGCTGGTGATGAAGGCTAGACATTGTGTTGGTAACTACATCCTAGCACAGGAAATGAGAATCTTTAAACAAGGCAATTCTTTGTTTAGTTTGAGCAAGCGTTTTTTTTATGGCAGATACAGAAACCTTGTTACCTTTAAAGGCATGGTAGTAACATAAAGGCTGCCTACAGTAGTTCAAACAATCTTCAACTAACAGTTCATCTACCGCTGACCTACCCAGTATTTAACAACTTGACTGGCGTGCTCAACATCCTTCACAAAAAAAGTTTTTTATTTGTTGATATTTGCTCCACCAGACTAGTGCAACAAGGCTCAGTGCTCCATATTTTTTTATTGGCAAACCTAAACTGACATTATATAACCATACAATTATTACTCGGGGAGATTACATACAAGAACAAGCCTGCATACTATTGATGCAATAAGTAGAAAAAAATAAGGTACAATAACAGGTGTAAAAGTTAATTATTTAAGTTATGTTGTGGTCACAGCTAATTTAAGTTTTAAGCTGTTAATTAATGACATCAAATCAAGTGGTATACCATTTGTTTAGCTCAGTACATAATACGGATTAAATATAATTTTTTTCTATACAAAAGCATTTATTACAATCTTTATTCCTTTAAAACCACTGACATTAAGAATTTCAAGTTTTGCCATATATGTATACTTAGAGCACCCAAATTATTAAGTCAAGTTACTGTCAAGATTCACATAGTTATTTTATAGTGACAAAAAAGCTAACTCAACCAGAGCTTCAATAAAAATGGTAGACCTGTACACAAACACTGAAACTTTAAAGCTGTTCAGTCCTCCCTGTGTAGCAGGGGTCAAAGTTTAAGCATCAGATTACAAGATGGCTGACAGGAAATTACACATGGGAAAGTCACAAGATATCACAGCTAGAGATGAGTGGACTACTGGCCCAGACAGTCATTGTACAGGGGGGGTGGGGGGGGGGGGGGTAAGGAGACAGATTGAAAAAAAGGTACAGCGGAAGAGAAGGTTGGTATTTGAATGTAACTGTGGGATTTATTATTATTATTTATTAAGCATCTGAGGAGACATGCATCACACTTTGGGGGGGGGGGGGGGATTTTACATAGTGTGTGAGTGTTGGAATACATACATTCAGAGCTATAGTGAAAGGAGACTAATGAGAAAAATAATTTTTAAGGGGCCGTATACAGTGGTGTACATACATATCAACATTTTATACACAATCACATCTTCACTGGCCTCAGAGCTATGAACAGCTGTTACAGAAGGTCTTGGATGCCAGGACATAGTCCTACACACACAAAAAAAACAACTGCTGGCTTATCTGGTTCCTTGCAACCATAGATTTATACAAAAGTTGCCAGATTTTCACAACACTTGCAACCATAGATTTACACAAAATTTTAAAGAATTTTGAACCACCATCAAACTTTCAAACACAGAAAAATTATTGTTAGAGTGTTCTTGATGAACATGGACTGCTTCAACATACTGAATCATTAAACATAATGAAATATGTTGTCTTTGCATGTCAAAGGCCTTAAGTATTTGCCAATTGTATTGCTTTTTGGTTTGAAAAAAATTTGCTAATACATTATATATTTTATAACCTAATGATATTCAACAAAAATGGAGTCAACAGTTCATACATTTTGTAATTGAACGGCAGACTTAAATGAAACACAACATTGAATGATAGGCCAAAGCTATGAATAAATTTTACAATGAAATGAGAACATTGAATATCTGGCTTGAATATAAGTGCTAGTTGTTTTTCTTTGATCTACTATCTATGTTCTATTTTTGTTCTATGTTCTATCTTTGTTCTATATTCTTGTTGAAGTAGATAATGTGACAACAAAAGGGTGGTTAGACAAAAAGCAGGAACATGATTACAATGGCACAAATAAAAAAAATAACTTCTTTGTTAAATAAAAGATAACACATATTAACTAGCTATTTCTACGTAGATCAATCTTTTAGATGAAGTTTTAACCCCTAAAAATGTGTGAGTTCCGCAAGAGTCTAGCGCTACTTGAGACTAGATAAAAATATCACAGGGCAAGGCTTCAGAAGAACATGCTGCGACTGTTGGGTCTGTTGGTGATCACCTTCATGGCCCCTGTGAAGTCTGCGGACACGATGATCTCCCTCTCCTCCGTGTCATCGTCCACTGACATGGGCTGACCCTTCAGCTCCAGGTTCTGCTGCTCCGCCATACGAAAGATGAAAGACGGGTTCGGAGCAAAGACGGCTGAGGTCACTACAGCATTGTGGACTATAAAACACAGGTTATAAAATTAATAAAGTTAAATCAAACTAAATAGGTTATAAAATTAATAAAGTTAAATCAAACTAAATAGGTTATAAAATTAATAAAGTTAAATCAAACTAAATAGATTATAAAATAAATTGACAGCAGATTTTGAACCAAATAGGTTTTGAAGTCAATGGACACGCACTAAGAATAAGTGAGGATAGCAATAGAAAAGTTGTGAAAATTATTTTAACCTTAACCCCCACTGTTGAAAAATCTGGCATTATTTGTACCTTTGATTGCCTCCCAGTAATCATTCCGGTCTCGCCTGGCTGATGTGAACTTGATGAACTCGTGGTTGGTTTTCCAGACATACAGGAAATGGTCTTCTGAGCCACAAATAACATACTTGCCAGTTGGGCTGTGAAAATTTTCTTTCTTTATAAATATTTTTTGACAAAACAAGTCAATCATCACCTAATGTATTCTTCTCTCTCGTTAGGTACACAGCAGAATTTACCAAAACTATCAAAGTAAATTAAAGGAGTTATTTCAACTCAAATGCAGACAGATTCTATTTTTTTCTGCTGGCATCATTGTTGGTCAGAAACAAGGGTTAAAGTATCAGGCCAAAAAAAAAAAACAACAGCCAAAACAAAATGCATGACATTCAAAATGTCTTGCTGGTCTTATTAAGTAGCACATTCTCCTGAAACACAACTGAAATATGCCTATGTTGAACATGCACACATAAAATTAGTCTAAATTTATAACCCATACACCTGAAACGACTCAGTTTTAAATCCAGTTACCTGAAACTGGCCCTGATTTGACTGCTGTTGTTCATACATCCCTTATACTTGCAGGATAAAGTCAGGTCTCTTAAGTTGTAAAGTCTGATTCTTGAGTCATTTGATGTTATCAAGATCTGAAAGTATGGTCAAACCTGCTGACATGTATTCGAACATTTTTACATGTAATTAGACATCTAGTCCCTGTATTCCAACAATTATGATTTCATTATACTTATTCCTTCCTGACCATTGAGTGAACCACCAATCAAACTAGGAAAGAAGTGTGTAACACAGTGTAAATCAACATGAAATAAGTCTCACCTTTTCTTCACCTGGCATACTCTCTATACCAGTTATTTTTCTTCCCTTTGAGTTCTTCCCTCTGGATGACCTCACATTGACCATGGTGTAGTATTTCAATTGCTAAACAAGAAAAACATTGCAGTTAATTATTAGATCCTAGTCTTGTGTTTCTATGGAAACAGAAACAATAAAACTATTCATAGTACCACTATAGAGCATGTTAGTTGTGTTAGAACTGATATAAAATCTGATATGTAATTTGGGTGTAACAGATTTTGTAATTTGTAGCTTTTAACAAGAGAAAATTAAGCAGTTGATTTTATAGCCAGTATGTTGTGTACAGTTAATGATATAAAACTGATGAGGTCAACCAAAGTTTTAAAACTTTCAGCTCAACCACCTTTTAGCACACAATCAGCTTGAACATTTTCATTTGATAAAGATGAACAAAGGCAATAAATCCTGGAACTAACGCAGAACACCACATTATTTTTTTTTCAACAACTGTTGACCTACTGACCTCTGTAGTGTAGAAAATACATTTCCCGTCGTAGGTGCCAACCACCGCCAATCTGCCGTTGTAGCAAAAATTTGCCGTCGTTATCAAATTGGAGTTGCCGGAGAGTTCGTTCCACAGAGTGACCTTCTTGTCTGGGATGTTCCACAGTCGCAGCTTGCCGTCCAGGGAACCACTCAAAAAGTAGCGGTCATCCTGTCAGGGTCACATACCAAACTATCTCAAAATGTAGCGGTCATACTATCAGGTCACATACCAAACTATCTCAAAATGTAGTGGTCATTCTATCAGGTCACATACCAAACTATCTCAAAATGTAGCGGTCATCCTGTCAGGGTCACATACCAAACTATCTCAAAATGTAGCGGTCATCCTGTCAGGGTCACATACCAAACTATCTCAAAATGTAGCGGTCATCCTGTCAGGGTCACATACCAAACTATCTCAAAATGTAGCGGTCATCCTGTCAGGGTCACATACCAAACTATCTCAAAATGTAGCGGTCATTCTGTCAGGTCACATACCAAAATTTCTCAAAAAGTAGTGGTCATTCTACCAGACAAACACAACAACTTTATAAAAGTAGTCGTCATTCTACCAGACAAACACACCAACTTTATAAAAGTAGTCGTCATTCTACCAGACAAACACACCAACTTTATAAAAGTAGAAGTTATCCTGGTAAATACAAATATTAAAGAAAATCGACAGACTTTGTACTTAGGAAGAAAACAAGACTTACCTTGGGATGAAAAACAATGGCGGTGACGAAGTCGATGTGCTGGAAGGTGCACAGACACTCCCTGCGAGAGATGTGCCACAGCCTGACTGTCTTGTCCATGGACGAGGACAGGATAAAGTAGTTCTGTTCAGACAATAAATTACTACACAAACTGTTTCAGACAACAGGATAAAGTAGTTCTGTTCAGATAATAAATTACTACACACACTGTCTCAGACAACAGGATAAAGTAGTTCTGTTCAGATAATAAATTACAATGCAGTGTCTGCTAAAGCTAAGATTCAAAATATTTTCAATTTTTGCTAAAAATGTACTTAAATAATTCAATGCAATTCTTCTTCCTTCTTAATTGAAATTCAACCTGCTTTTCTTTTTTTTTTATTTGTTTCCATAGCCTTTTTCATCCAAGAACAAACTACAAGGTAGGCAGTGTAAGTTAGCTCAAAGATATTTTTTAAATTCAATTCTGGCAAGTTGCCCTACTGACCTTTGACCAAGAGATGTCCAGGAGGTCAGCTGTGTGACCTTTGTAAACACAAAATGGTTTTCTGTGGAAAGGAGCGTTGACTTCATCATCTTCTGTTTGCTTGTTTAGTTCCTTCTGTTAGAGGGGAAATATACAAATGTAAAACTGTAAATACAGGATCCCTGTTAGAGGAAAAAAATATACAAATGTAAAACTGTAAATACTGGATCCAGAAAGTATAGACAGGAATAGTTTAAAATATTGCACCTGAGCACTGAATCAGATTTTTATCAATCTTCCAGGATCAACCATAAATTAAAAATAACAGAGCCAACCAGTGAAACCCAGCAACAAATTAAAAAAATAACAGAGCCAACCAGTGAAACCCAGCAACAAATTAAAAAAATAACAGAGCCAACCAGTGAAACCCAGCAACAAATAAAAAAAAATAACAGAGCCAACCAGTGAAACCCAGCAACAAATAAAAAAAATAACAGAGCCAACCAGTGAAACCCAGCAACAAATAAAAAAAATAACAGAGCCAACCAGTGAAACCCAGCAACAAATTAAAAAAATAACAGAGCCAACCAGTGAAACCCAGCAACAAATTAAAAAAATAACAGAGCCAACCAGTGAAACCCAGCAACAAATTAAAAAAATAACAGAGCCAACCAGTGAAACCCAGCAACAAATTAAAAAAATAACAGAGCCAACCAGTGAAGCCCAGCAACAAATTAAAAAAATAACAGAGCCAACCAGTGAAACCCAGCAACAAATTAAAAAAATAACAGAGCCAACCAGTGAAGCCCAGCAACAAATTAAAAAAATAACAGAGCCAACCAGTGAAGCCCAGCAACAAATTAAAAAAATAACAGAGCCAACCAGTGAAACCCAGCAACAAAAAAAAAAAAATAACAGAGCCAACCAGTGAAACCCAGCAACAAATTAAAAAAATAACAGAGCCAACCAGTGAAACCCAGCAACAAATAAAAAAAAATAACAGAGCCAACCAGTGAAACCCAGCAACAAATAAAAAAAATAACAGAGCCAACCAGTGAAACCCAGCAACAAATAAAAAAAAATAACAGAGCCAACCAGTGAAACCCAGCAACAAATAAAAAAAATAACAGAGCCAACCAGTGAAACCCAGCAACAAATAAAAAAAATAACAGAGCCAACCAGTGAAACCCAGCAACAAATAAAAAAAATAACAGAGCCAACCAGTGAAACCCAGCAACAAATAAAAAAAAGAACAGAGCCAACCAGTGAAACCCAGCAACAAATAAAAAAAATAACAGAGCCAACCAGTGAAACCCAGCAACAAATAAAAAAAATAACAGAGCCAACCAGTGAAACCCAGCAACAAATAAAAAAAATAACAGAGCCAACCAGTGAAACCCAGCAACAAATAAAAAAAATAACAGAGCCAACCAGTGAAACCCAGCAACAAATAAAAAAAATAACAGAGCCAACCAGTGAAACCCAGCAACAATTAAAAAAAAGAACAGAGCCAACCAGTGAAACCCAGCAACAATCTAAAACTGAAACACTAACCAGAGGATCCATAGCAGCGGCAGACAGATCTGATGAGGAGGCGGAGTTTAAGCTGTCATGTGACACCGCTGGTGAAAGTCGAACTGAAAACAGTGAGAGCCAAGGTTAGAAATATTCACTTTTCTGACCGTTAACCCTTTAATGTCTGGACATTTTTACTTCATGTACAGGAAAATCTCATTTACAGCCGCAAACTTTTAAGGGTTAAAAAAACATCATTTATAATTTCTAATTGAATTATAAAAGCAGTTCATTTAATTATAACGAGTTTAACTTACAATTAATTTAATTATAACTAATCTGCAAATAAGGTTAAAACTTACCATCTGAATATTTTTGCCTGAAATCTTCAAAGTAAGTATAAGTAGATTTGAGGACCCAAATCCTTAAGACACTATCTTGACCACCAGTGGCCTGAATTGAATTTAGATAAAAAGTTGTGTCAAAAGGTTAGATAACTCTAAAAATCTACTCAGCTTCAAACAGGAAGAAACCATTGAACAGGTTAGATAACTCTAAAACATTTGATCAGATCACACTCACCAGCAGCTTCCCACAAGGGGAAAATTTCATTGTCCAAATGGCTCCCTAAAAAAAAAAAATTCATAAAATTTATTCAAGGTGAAAATTAATCAAAAAACATGTTTCATGATTTAAGGCCTTATAGTCAATTTAAATTCACTGTAATGGAATTTGTAATGACTAAAACATGATAACAAAACTAAATGTTATATTGGAAATGAAATAAATTTGTGAGGAAAATAGTCATAAATTTCACAATTTCTTTTGATGTATTAGATCTCTATATCAAGAATTAATGCACACAGCCAAACACATGTCAAGGTGATGATTGAAAATACTTACAGTGTGTTCCCCGCTCATCTCCTGAAGTATGCTAGGCTGGGAGAAGTCATAAGGCCCTTTGTTCTTGCTGGATGACTTGATCTGTCAAACATTCAACAGACACATACAGCAACATTAATCAAACAAATTTTCATCCAACTTGTACTTTAAAATTGGAGCAACACTAATCAAACAAATTTTCATTCAACTTGTACTTTAAAATTGGAGCAACACTAATCAAACAAATGTTCATCCAACTTGTACTTTAAAATTAAACTGTCTGAGGAACATGTTTAGATCAAAGTGGGAGAACCACTGACAACACCTACACCAGTCAAACAAGTGCCCCCAGAAATTACCTTAAAAACTTTCCCGTCAACAGAAACCTCTTCCTCCAATGGTGGATCTCCTTGAAGTGCTGAGACGGAAAAATATTCTAACCATGAATTCATTTGATCAAAATATTGCAAGTCATTATTTACATTTTTTAAAATTTGTAATAATTATAAGAATAAATCAAAAAGTGACATCAGCAGCATGTCATCAAGAAGTAACATCAGCAGTGTGTCATCAAGAAGTGACACCAACAGCAAGTCATCAAGAAGTGACACCAACAGCAAGTCATCAAGAAGTGACACCAACAGCATGTCATCAAGAAGTGACACCAGCAGCATGTCATCAAGAAGTGACACCAACAGCATGTCATCAAGAAGTGACACCAGCAGCATGGAATCAAGAAGTGACACCAACAGCAAGTCATCAAGAAGTGACACCAACAGCATGTCATCAAGAAGTAACATCAGCAGTGTGTCATCAAGAAGTGACACCAACAGCAAGTCATTAAAAAGTAAAGTCAGCCTTGACCTTACCTGAGTCTGCCACAGATTTGACCTTGTTCACAGTTTTCCCAAAAAACTTTTTGATCCTCATCCTATGTGAGCAAGAGTTAAAAGTTAGCAAAACACTAGCAACAAAGTTAACAAAACACTAGCTACTAAGTTACACACTCACCCTCTCCTCCCAAAGCATACACCTCTCCTCCCACACCACTCAACCTCTCCTCCCACACCCCTCACCCCACACCTCTCAACCTCTTCTCCCACTCACCCTTTCCTCCTGACTGTATTACTTGATGACGCTGCACTTTTCTCTGACCTAGAATCTGATTCATCACTCAGCCCATCCACATGTAAGCTTGTATCACTGGAGTGTAAGGAAAGTTTGTCATATGTAAGCTTGTATCACTGGAGTGTAAGGAAAGTTTGTTATATGTAAGCTTGTATCACTGGAGCGTAAGGAAAGTTTGTCATATGTAAGCTTGTATCACTGGAGTGTAAGGAAAGTTTGTTATATGTAAGCTTGTATCACTGGAGTGTAAGGAAAGTTTGTCACATTATGTAAGCTAGTATCACTAGAGTGTAAGGAAAGTTTGTCATATGTAAGCTTGTATCACTGGAGTGTAAGGAAAGTTTGTCATATGTAAGTTTGTATCACTGGAGTGTAAGGAAAGTTTGTCATATGTAAGCTTGTATCACTGGAGTGTAAGGAAAGTTTGTCATATGTAAGCTTGTATCACTAGTGTGTAAGGAAAGTTTGTCATATGTAAGCTTGTATCACTAGAGTGTAAGGAAAGTTTGTCATATGTAAGCTTGTATCACTAGAGTGTATTGAAAGTTTGTCATATGTAAGCTTGTATCACTGGAGTGTAAGGAAAGTTTGTCATATGTAAGCTTGTATCACTAGAGTGTAAGGAAAGTTTGTCATATATGAGCTGGTATCACTAGAGTGTAAGGAAAGTTTGTCATATGTAAGCTTGTATCAGTAGAGTGTAAGGAAAGTTTGTCATATGTAAGCTTGTATCACTAGAGTGTATTGAAAGTTTGTCATATGTAAGCTTGTATCACTGGAGTGTAAGGAAAGTTTGTCATATGTAAGCTTGTATCACTAGAGTGTAAGGAAAGTTTGTCATATGTAAGCTGGTATCACTGGAGCGTAAGTTTCTCCCCTTTAACACAACAGATCCACCAGCACACAAGACTAGGTTGTAAAGCAACAAGAGAGCCAGGTCACTAGATACAAGCGGTGGTAAAAAGAGGCATTGACACCAACACAAGATTTTCAAAACTAAGCCCACCAACAAGATTTTCTAACATCAGCCTACCGACAAGATTTTTTTTTACCAAATAACAGTTTACCACCCACTGAAATTCCCTGCCCCCCCCCCCCCCCCTTGTAGGGTTATCACTCTCCACACCCGTAAAATTTCCCCACCCCACAGTTTCCATGCCCCCCACCAACCTGCTGTACTCTTTAGTGCGCCGCATGATGTGCAGGGCCAAAGGGTTGACACACTTGGGCAGCTTGTCCTCTGCCGTGCTCAGTGGGATGGTCTCCCCTGTGTCCAGGTTTCTCAAGGTGACCAGTTCCAGGATTTCCTGGAGATGCCAGTCAACAAATTAAATTCCCCCAACTTTAGAGCAGGTACCCATAAAGAGCTGAGTGAACTCAGGGGTGTCACTGATTTTGGTAAATGATACAAAATATTTACAAAAAGAAAAAACTGGTATTATTGAATTTATTGTGTGTTGCATTATCAGACGATGCTAAAAATAGAAAGTTGAACCAAATAGTCAATTAACTGATGACCAAATAAACACTGGATTTAACCATTTCAACAGCTTTGTGTATTTAAACAAGTGTTGACCTACCTCGTCTGTTAGGGGTCGCCCAGAACTGGAGCGTGGTCTGCGGTTAGGACTGGCCTCTCTGCCCCCATCCCCCAGGCTCTGCCAGTGCTGGATCTGCACAGACAAGGAATCCATGTTATCATCCAAAGTCTCGGTGCCGCTGAAGGCTTGGCTTCGGGGACTGACCCTGGGGCTGCCAGAGCTGCCGGAGTAAATGTTGGCGTCGTAGTGCAGAGGTCTGGTGCTCTCCCTGCCAGTGCCGCACTCGTCCAGATCCTAGTGTCACATACAACAACTTGTCAATCTTGTCAACTATCTTAACTACTTTTGACAGACATATTGACACTTTAAAATGTCAGGAGGATAAGCATCTTTCATTGCAAGTGTCCCTATCCTAACCATAACCCTTGCTATAACCCCAGGAGTGACTCTAACCTTGACCTTATCCTAACAGTGCAACGTGCAGAAAAAAAAAACAAGAAGTCCTGCTGGCATATGTATAAGAACCAAAGAATGTGATCATGCAGTACAACAAAAACATTGACTGAGCGGCTCCGTCCTACTCACATAGGTGTAAATGTGTCGGCTCCCTTCCAGAGCTGACTTGACGTCCAGAGAGTTTTCTCTCCCCTTTGGCTCAAGCCTGGACTGCAGTGGCTCCCCTCTGAGGAACAAGGGGGAGGGCAGGAGACGCGGGGCTCGCCCTGACTCTGTACTGTCAGTCGCAGGTGTCATGTCGTGTGGAGATGATTGGGACTAGATGGGCAACCATTTAAACTTTGATCAAAATGAAACAGGAGTTTATTCACCCTCGCTCACACCCAGCCTGTCACACAGGTAGCCCTTGAACTTACCTGACTTTTGACCTTCTTCTTCCGGGGAGGGGCTACCGGGGGCTTGACAAATGGGGGTGTCCTGGACTTGGTGCTCTTCACAATGTCTGGCTCCGAGTCCTGCTGGACCTGTGTCTGTTGAAGGATTGTGTCCACCACGCTGTCCGTGCCCATGTCCACGCTGCCCAGCTTGCTGCCACTGATGAGGAGGGTCAGGCTTTTGTTTTGTTTTTCTTTCTCTGGGTGATATCTGCAGAGGTCAGGACCCAAACCAAAACATTAGAAACCTTTTTTTCATATTTAGACTCAACACAATCCCAAATGTTAGAAACCACTGGCTACAGGACATTGAAATATTTTGTGATGGGTGACCTATTGGTTTAATGTAAGTGATGTCAACTACTCAACAAAACTGCAGAGACTTTACTTTCCATAGGTAACAATTAGAGCTAGGTGGACTCAGGGAAATCCTACAGATTCAAACCCGATATCTGAACTCAAGACTTTTGGATTAGTAGTTGTACACTCTAGCATTCAACCACACCATCCCATGAGCCAGAACTAAGTGCTAAGACAAATGTTGAGCAACTGACCTCTCCATGTTCTGGTCCATGTCTATCAACTTCTCGTCTTTACTCTGCCGCAGGGAACTTGACCTTTGAACTGAGACCAAACCACCTGAGGCCTCCGCACTAGGTAGTGACGTGTCACTCCCTGACTGGTGACCCTCTGGTGAAGAAATGTCCCCCTGGCTACCAGGTTTGTCTACTCTGATGTTAAAGTCAGTCGGGTTGTTCCCCGAGGGGTACCTCGCCTCCGCCCCACTAGCTATGGTCAAGACAGAGTCATTTTTGGGCAGGTCCCCCCAGGAACCAGAACGTTTTTTAGCATGCTGGCGATTTGTCTGTGTTGTGGCGCCATTGTTCTCCATTTTTTCAATGGTCCGTGACTTTGGGGCTGAGGCGGGGCGTGCCCCAGATAAGGCAAAAAGGTCAGGAATGTCTGTTGAAGTGTTGGGCGAGTCCTTGTCTAGTGAGGAGTCGTTGGATGTGGAAAAAAAAGATTGGTCGGCACCCAGAGACTGGCGCATCTCTTCCAGCTTTCTTATCCTGCCCTCATGCTCCAGGTGATGCAGGTCTTGTTCCTGCAAGAGATGCAATCAATTTCAACACTTCTCACAGAACAAAAATTCCTTAATTAGCATGCAAAACGCTCTTATACTTAAAAAGTTACTCAAGAAATTAATAATTCAGTAGGTACAGCTGACAGCTAGATCCAGCCAGATTTGACAATAGATGCTGACAGTTGACAGCAGGAGCTGACACTTACCTTGTTGCTAGCTTCAGCACGCTTCTGCTGTTGGAGCTGTAGCAGCCGGCGTTCCAGCTCCTCATCTTCTCTCTTGCGTCTGACACAAAGAACAAATTGTACCGTTAAACCACATCAAGAATTTAAAACTGTTACGCCTGACACAAAAGACAAATTGTACCATTAAAACACATCAACTTGCATCTGACACAAAAGACAAATTGTACCGTTAAAACACATCAACTTGCATCTGACACAAAAGACAAATTGTACCGTTAAAACACATCAACTTGCATCTAACACAAAAGACAAATTGTACCGTTAAAACACATCAACTTGCATCTGACACAAAAGACAAATTGTACCATTAAACTACATCAAGAATTTAAAACTGTTGCATCTGACACAAAGGAAACAACGTACAATAAGACAATTTCATGAACTAAAAAATCTAACAGCTAGCTATTTGCATTTTAGAGATGAATGTGGCCGAATAGCAAAGGAACTTACAATGGAACATCACTTTCAGTGAAATTTACAAATAAAAACAGCATCAGTTGTTATCATAGCCAGGTAGCTAACAGGGTAGAGCATGTACTCACTTCTCCTCAGCTCTCTACAGCATGTACTCACCTCTCCTCAGCTCTCTACAGCATGTACTCACTTCTCCTCAGCTCTCTACAGCATGTACTCACTTCTCTAGAGCATGTACTCACCTCTCCTCTGCTCTCTACAGCATGTACTCACTTCTCCTCAGCCCTCTACAGCATGTACTCACTTCTCCTCAGCTCTCTACAGCATGTACTCACTTCTCCTCAGCTCTCTACAGCATGTACTCACTTCTCTAGAGCATGTACTCACCTCTCCTCTGCTCTCTTTTTAAGCTGTAAGAGCCTCCTCTCTTCCTCCTCAATTTCAGAAAACTAGAACAAAAAAAATACCAAAGCTTATATCATGGCATGAGTTTAACATTGTGATGACTGTTGATGTAGTGACCAGAGCTTATATCATGGCATGAGTTTAACATTGTGATGACTGTTGATGGATTATATTAGAAGTAGGCAGAATTCTATTTCATTCAATAATACTGGCTTTGCTGGTGCTGGGGGGGGGGGGGGGGGGGGGGGGGGGAATATGAGAGAACAGACTTTGAGTAAACAATTTGGATTCTTTTTCTTCTAACAAGAGATATGTTGAAAAACTGTTGACTTACTGTAATACTCTTTGGTGAGTTGCTGTGGTGGCATGACCTGTGTAAACATAAACTGTATTGTTAGACAACACCAACTGAAGAAAGTCTACCCCCCCCCACAAACAAATGGAAAATTTATATAGTAAACATATACTTCTAACAGTGTTTGCCCCCCCCCCCCCCCCCCAGAGAAAAAAAAGTCTGGAAGAAACACTGTAACTAAGCCTAATAAATTAATAATAATTAATAATAGTCTATACTCTAGCTAGGCCTATTGTAAAATTGATAATAATTTAATATACCTATATGGCCAAGGCCTAAAAATAATTTAATATAGGCTAATCTACACTACTATCTATTGTTATATTTTTATATATAGATCTAGATCTAGCCCTATCTACTATCTAGTCAGTCTAGCTAGGGTTTGTCAGTCTTAAGCCACACTTACTTAACTTATTAGTAGTAGATCTAATAATAATATAATAATATGGCTTAGTAGATCTAGTAGTTACTATTTGTTAAATACAATAAATAATAAATAGGGTAGGTCTAACCTTAACCCTAATCCTAAAACTAATAATAATATTATATTATAGTATAATAATTAGGCCTATACTAAAATAAAATAATATAGATAGGCCTAGATCTAGATTTCTAGATCTAGATTCTAGGGGTGTGGGGAAATTGCGAGACGCGAAAAGCGAAATGGCGAGGCGGGAAATTGCGAGAAGGTAATGCGAGACATACCTGCGGAATTAAGGGTAAATAGCGAGACACTTTTTGCGAAAAAAGTTTTTTCCTTTTTTTTCCATCTTTATTTATTTCAATTATTTATTTGTTTTAAAATAAACAAGCATTTAGCCATACCCTTTAACACGAGTGTTGTATGTTGTTATTTTTTATCTAGATACTAAGAAGATAGATCTATATCTAGATCTATCTATTTAAAAATCCTAACATCGTTGCTGTGCTACTGTCATCGCCCGCTCTTGTTAGCGAGAGGAAAATCCCGTTTCAGTCGGCATTAATTTAAAAATCTAGCCCGCTCATGTTTATACAAACGTAAGCTGTGTCATTGTGAATTGGTATAATCTTGTCAGCTGGAGAGATATTTTGCAACATCTATTTATGGATTTTTGTACTTGCAAAAAGTGTAAAAGTATAAACAATTCTAAAAAGTGCAATTTATTTTTTTATTAAGTAATTTTAATTACAAACAAAATCTTCTGAAACAGTCCTAGCACTACTCAAACACACCTCGTGACACCATCTTTCACACATAGTACACCCAACCCAGTTCATTAGACTCCCATTTAATGATTTATACATTTTTCTTTTGCTACTTCTTCCAATCCACATTCACAACATTTCACATTCTCATCACAGTTGACCTCCTCGTTCATCCCACAAACAACACTGGCACCCATGTTCTCATCATCATCATCCGCACGCTCAACATCTGTTTTCCGTTTTTTATAATTTGTATTTTTTATCATTTCTGTAATTTTGGCAATGTCTTGCTCATTGTTGTCACCAGCAGTTGAGTTTTTTTAAAACATCGATATTTTCCCCAAAATCTTGTCTAATTTCGGTCAAAATAGAGTATTTTAATCAATTCCTATTACAATGTATTAAAACAGTTTTCTAAAACGCGAAAAAACTTCTAAAATTCTTTTTCCAACATTGCTTTTTTATAGTGTGACTTCACATCTAACCCCCCCCCCCCCCTCCTCCTCCCCCTCATCACACATCGTCATAAAATTACAGAACCCCCCCCCCCCTACGAGTGTGACGTCATTTATGGAAGACCCCAAATAACACCACCACCAAAACCAAAAAATTCAGACAAGTTCAACTTGGTTTTAAAAATATTTGAAGTAGGCCCATAGCTTACGATATAGCACGAGCAACTGATAATATCGGTGATCTGTCACTTTATTTTGTTGTATCCAAATGATGTAGGCATTTCCCTGTGCTTAGATTTATATGGTAAAAAAAAGTTAGAAAAAAATCGTAGGCGGCGGCTATAATACAAAATTTCTATGCAACAATAGAAAATATGTTTGCGGCGGCAGCGGATCCGGGCACGGTGATCTTCAAAGACGGTAAATCAGGCGGCCTCGGCGTTCCACACAAAAGACAGAAAATGATCTATCGTCGGCGGTATTTCCGTCGTTAGAACAAGGTGGTATTCTAAATCGACACAAAAGATGGGGGGAGTTGACAAATCATCAGTATGTCTAGCGACGGAAAAATCGGAAGTTTTAACAATGTAAACGAAACGTCTTTGAAGTCTGGACCAAATACCACTGAAAATCGGGTGCGGTAAATTTTTTCGCAGAAATCTTCGCATTTCAACACCACCCAGCGTAAGTATCGGCTTGTGGTAAAATGCGAGACAAAAAAGTCACGTGACCGACCGTTTTCGCGCCCTTCTCGCATTTTCCCGCCCTCGCCATTTCGCTTTTCGCGTCTCGCAATTTCCCCACACCCAGATTCTAGATCTAGATCTAGGTAGATTCTATTTCTAACTAAATCTAGAAACCTAGATCATGATTAGTAACTAATAGATCTAGAATCTAAATCTGCTAGATTCTAGATTTAGATCTAGATCTAGATTCTAGTAATAGTAAGACTAGTGAACGGCCGTGATCATTAAAAAAAATCTTCACTTACGATGAAGAAGATGTCTCATCTGCAGCGTCATAAAATTCTTCTTGATCACTACCTGACGACATATTACATCAATTCCTTTAATCAATAACCTTAATTAAATTATAGTCTACATAAAAGTTGAACGAACATTGGGCTAAAATTAAGACTGATTTCCTTAGAACAGAAAATAGTGTATTGTTGTTGATATTTTGGACGCCATTTTGAGAGTTTATTTTGGAGTATTGTCCCTTTGCCCTAGTTCTTCTGTATTAAAAACGCCCTTCTCACAAAAGTAAAGTTCGTCTGCTTCTGTTGCTTCGGAAAATGAACTTCGAAGAAATAATGTGGTCAGCACTAGATCTATGTGTCTGTACCGTTTTTAAGGTCTATACAGTATCTATGAGTCTGTACCGTTTACTCTGAGTTGGTTGTTCCCCCCCCCCACCTCACCACCAGAACGGGACAAGCTGTAATTGTGTAGGGCGACATTAATGTCACACATGGGTATACGCTGGGTAAAGTAATTGACCTAAAGTGACCGGACAGTGGTGAATGAAGTTGAATTCACTCCCCCCCTATCCCCACCCCCGTACTGTTAAGTTCATCATCAGGGAAAACGCGTTAAGAGGTACCCATGCCGCCAGCCGCGTCTACGCAGGGAGGGGGAGGCAGGCCGTTTAAAGGGCTCAAAAAAACAACAAAATAATTTTCTTTGCACTTTGACCTACTAATGTTTTTTTTTTAAATTTATAGATCTCCTACAACAGTGATTGTTAACACAAAGAAAGCCTCAACATACAACTAACATCCACATACAACTAACATCCACATACAACTAACCTCCACATACAACTAACCTCCACATAAACTAACATACACATACAACTAACATACACATACAACTAACATCCACATGCAACTAACATCCACATACAACTAACATCCACATACAACTAACATACAACTAACCTCCACATACAACTAACCTCCACATACAACTAACCTTCACATACAACTAACCATCCACATACAACTAACCTCCACATACAACTAACATCCACATACAACTAACCTCCACATACAACTAACAACCACATACAACTAACCTCCACATATAACTAACATCCACATACAACTAACTTCCACATATAACTAACATCCACATACAACTAACCTTCACATACAACTAACATACACATACAACTAACATCCACATACAACTAACATACACATACAACTAACAACCACATACAACTAACCTCCACATACAACTAACATCCACATATAACTAACATCCACATACAACTAACCTCCACATACAACTAACCTTCACATACAACTAACATACACATACAACTAACATCCACATACAACTAACCTCCACATACAACTAACAACCACATACAACTAACATACAACTAACCTCCACATACAACTAACCTCCACATACAACTAACCTTCACATACAACTAACATCCACATACAACTAACCTCCACATACAACTAACATCCACATACAACTAACCTCCACATACAACTAACAACCACATACAACTAACATACAACTAACCTCCACATACAACTAACCTCCACATATAACTAACATCCACATAACAACTAACCTCCACATACAACTAACATCCGCATACAACTAACATCCACATACAGCTAACAAACAGCTAACCTCCACATAATCAGCCACATATGCCACACTCCTAAGGTCCCTTCCACATGGCTAACTAGAAGACCTCTATGTCTATTCTACATCTCCACGCAACACCAGACACACCACATACTGTGTCAGCACATGTCAGTGTAAAATATACCCGTCACATACATACAAAAACAGACATACATACATACATACGCACGCAAATACACTACTTGCTCTTACACACACATACACATAAAATGACACTTAAACAAACAAACAAGCTCACACAAAAACTCGCACACAAACTCGCACACAAAGTCAAATAATGCTGAGTACTGCGTGTAAAGACAATGCTGAGTACTGCATGTAAAGACAATGCAAGAAACATCAACTCACACGGCCCAGTAGTTCCTCAGAAAAAACCAGCTCATCCTACAGCTCAAGTCACGAACCACAACAACAGGCTGGTTCCTAAAGTCAGGTTCACAGTCAAGTCATGACTTCAAGTCAAATAATTTTTTGGTTGTTTTCGATTCCACGAACACTAGCTGCTAGTTTTAGCGATATCACACACTTGAAGTTATAAAAAGCTTCAAGCGTCACAGATTTAAACTGTCAGCGACTGCTACCTGCTTCCTTTGTTGTGCAAATTCTGACACCGCGTGTGGGTGTTTACTGGTTTCCATGTCATTTAGAGTCAACCTTTTTACAAGTCGGTTAGAGTCAAGCTTCTACGAGTTATTTAGTGTTAACTATCTACACAAGAAGTAATTTATTGCCAACCTTCTACCTTAGAAGTCATTTAGTGTCAACCCTCTACATTAGAAGTCATTTAGTGTCAACCCTCTACAATTCATTTAGAGCAAACCTTCAACAAGTAATATAAAAACAAAATTCTTCAAGTCTTTGAGAGCTAACCTTCAACAAGAAGTTAAATATTAACCCCACAATGTTACCCAACGTGTTACGTGTGAACAAAACGATTTCAAAACATATTTTTTTGATTAAATACACATGCCCTAAAATTTTGAAATTTAATTTCTACTTTCGATATCATAATTTCGACAGTCACTCTCCACCCCTCCCCCCCCCCACACCCTTTCCTTCTCGACAATTGACAAAATCAATTTAGTTCAATAAGTCCTTGAGTCAAGTACGGTTTTTCTAGAAGTTTTGGAAACCCGATATCAGTGTACACACAACCGTGCTCTATGTTACACTGAGACAAGTGAAGGCTTGTTTTCTTTTTAACTGAGGTGCTGTATGTCTGTGTAATTGGGGTTCAACCAGTTACTATGTGTATGTAATTGGGGTGATTACGGTTTAATCTGTTATGGTGTGTGATTGGGGTTTAACCTGTAATGTTGTGTGTCTGTGTGATTGGGGTTTAACTTGTAATGTTGTGTCTGTTTAATTGTGGTTTAACCTGTAATGTTGTGTGTCTTGTGTAATTGGGGTTTAACCTGTAATGTTGTTTGTCTGTGTGATTGGGGTTCAACTTGTGATGTTGTGTGTTTTGTGTGATTGGTGGTGTATGGGGGGAGTATACAATTAAAAGAGGTTGAGGAGTAAGAGCTTAGATGCTGTGAGGGCGATTGACTGGGGGGGGGGGTGGGAGGTGTATGTTTCTGTTGTACAGAGGGATGTGCTGGAGGTGTTTCTAAGGGGTTGTGTGGGGGGTATGGTAGGGTTGTAGTTGTGTGGGGGTATGGTGGGGTTGTAGTTGTGTGGGGGGTATGGTGGGGGTTGTAGTTGTGTGGGGGTATGGTGGTGTTGGGGTTGTGTGTGGGGGGTATGGTGGTGTTGGGGTTGTGTGAAGGTATGGTGGTGTTGGGGTTGTGTGGGGGGTATGGTGGTGTTGGGGTTGTGTGGGAGGTATGGTGGTGTTGGGGTTGTGTGAAGGTATGGTGGTGTTGGGGTTGTGTGGAGGTATGGTGGTGTTGAGGTTGTGTAAAGGTATGGTGGTGTTGGGGTTGTGTGAAGGTATGGTGGTGTTGGGGTTGTGTGAGGGTATGGTGGTGTTGTGGTTGTGTGGGGGTATGGTGGTGTTGTGGTTGTGTGGGGGGGTATGGTGGTGTTGGGGTTGTGTGAAGGTATGGTGGTGTTGGGGTTGTGTGAGGGTATGGTGGTGTTGGGGTTGTGTGGAGGTATGGTGGTGTTGGGGTATGGTGGTGTTGGGGTATGGTGGTGTTGGGGTTGTGTGAGGGTATGGTGGTGTTGGGGTTGTGTGGAGGTACGGTGGTGTTGGGGTATGGTGGTGTTGGGGTATGGTGGTGTTGGGGTATGGTGGTGTTGGGGTTGTGTGGAGGTATGGTGGTGTTGGGGTATGGTGGTGTTGGGGTATGGTGGTGTTGGGATATGGTGGTGTTGGGGTTGTGTGGAGGTATGGTGGTGTTGTGGTTGTGTGGAGGTATGGTGGTGTTGTGGTTGTGTGGATGTATGGTGGTGTTGGGGTTGTGTGGAGGTATGGTGGTGTTGTGGTTGTGTGGAGGTATGGTGGTGTTGTAGTTGTGTGGAGGTATGGTGGTGTTGTGGTTGTGTGGAGGTATGGTGGTGTTGTAGTTGTGTGGAGGTATGGTGGTGTTGGGGTATGGTGGTGTTGGGGTTGTGTGAGGGTATGGTGGTGTTGGGGTTGTGTGGAGGTATGGTGGTGTTGTGGTTGTGTGGTGAGTATGGTGGTGTTGGGGTATGGTGGTGTTGGGGTATGATGAGGGTATGGTGGTGTTGGGGTTGATGTGAGAGGGTATGTGGAGTGATGGGGTTGTGTGGAGGTATGGTGGTGTTGGGGTGGTGTGAGGAGGGGTGTGTGGTGTTGGGAGTATGGATAGTGATGAGTATGTTGACCTCCGGATGATGTGGAGAGTGTGCCGAAGATTGGGTTTATTTTTAGTCGTTAAAGACAATTTGAAAGATACCCTCCTAAATCAGTCTCAGGACACCTCTACTCTAGTAGTATTATCTCAGCACATATGATGGCGTTGAATGTCTTGGCCTAATCAATCGATAGTTGCAACCTGTCACAGTTGACTGGTTTTGGAACGTGTTTAAAGACAAATCAACGTTACATAAAACTACACGATGGCCTAGTTTGTTAATCTTAATCTTATTCCTTGTGGCACATTAGTGGGTCAGGTGTTTTTAAATTTTTATCTTTGTTAACTTTGGGCTAATGAAGTTTTGGCATGAATTGCACGAAGAATTGATATCCTCTCGGGTTTGGCTAATCTTTAAAGTTCCTGTTGAAACTTGTGTGGTTAGAGTTAATATAGGGGTCTGTTTACTCTTGTCAACAGCATCTAGCTATCTAGAGGAAAGATTTCTCTTTAGACCTGGCGATCTATCGGGCAGATGAAGAGCTGCTCATGTTTCTGACACAGTTGTCTGCACCAGTTATATGCCTGTATGATCGTTAGATGTACGTATATCCGAGGCATAATATCAGAGTCTAAATTAAGAAAATAGACTGCTACTTTGCTTAAAAGACTTAAGGATTTGTTTTCTACATCGATTGTGGGACACCAAAATAAAAATTGTTGTTGGAAAGTGACTGGTAAAATCAGGGGCGGAACTACAGTGCCGCCAGACCCCGCAATGCGAGGGGGCCCACGCCATTTAGGGGCCCACGGCCGACCATAAAAAATTGTTATAGTTAAAAAAACAATTTCTTGCATTTAATTTTAGACTTAATGTTTGTTTTGTAAAAAAGATTACTGTAGCTGCGGTTGGATTATCTTTATTCTATAGTAACCCCCCACGCTAATTTTTCCTTCGTTTTTAAACCACTGTGAAAGCCGAGTTCTCTTTCTCCTACAATCAAACTTCTCAAAGATAAGCAAAACGTTCAAACCACTTGAATGACTTATTTCCCTTTTTTAAATAGTCAATAGTGATGCTCATAAGCCTCTTTTTAATAGATTTATACTAAACAGATTAATAAGCAATTACTTCTCTTTATTGTTATTTGTTTATAAATTACTTACTAAAGAATGACCTGTATAAAAAGAAAATGTATTAAAAATTAATAAATAAATACAAAAAAAAACATAAAAATAAACATGACACGAGACACCATTATTACAGAAAGCTTTCATGTTTTATATTCTTTTGACCGATATGATAATAGAGACGTTACGGCAGAAATAATATATAACTGATTTTCACAAAACAGACTAGTGCACTTACACCCCATGACACGATGTAATTTGTTTTAGTTAAAAAAAAAACACGTACTTTCTCATAACACGAACAGGCCAGCAATAAGTATCCTATGTTCGTATTTTTGCGTTTGAGTATATATTATATATATATATATATATATATATATATATATAATATATATATATATATATATATATATATATATATATATATAATATATATATATATATATATATTATATATATATATATATATATATATATATTATATATATATATATATATATATGTATACATATATACATATGTAGGCCTATATATTTATAAGGGCTGGGGGGGGGGGCTAAAATTGTTTTTGCGGGGTGGCCCCTTTTTTCTAGTTCCGCCACTGGGTAAAATGCCAACTGGGATGGTGGGGGGTGCGTTTTTTCGCCCCGGGCCCCGGAATGGGTTGCTACGCCTCTGACGCATAAACAGAGCAGGTCATGTACAAATATATTTGATAACTTAATTCCTCTGTACCCTTGAAATGTTACTCCTCGCAGATTTTATATAAAAAGGGAGGTAACAATGATAATATTTTATATCTTGTTATTTGAAGTAATTCTGTCCCCTTAACAGGATAATTAATGTAACAAAATCTTTTATGTTTGTTTTTTATTTGAAAAAAAAACATGATGTAGTGGTGCATTGCATTGCATCCCAACTGGCCATTTGTTCTGTTTATACAATATCCAGAGTTTCTTCAAGGCATCTCTTCGGGGGGGGGGGGGATATTTTTACCCGCCGCCCCCCCCCCCCCCGACGAACGAATGAAATTTATATAATTTATATAGAAAATATATACTTTTAACAGTGTCCGCCCCCCGAAGAAAGTCCCTATACCGCCCCCCCCCCCAGAAAATTCAAGTGCCACCCCCCCCCCCCCCCCCCCCGGAGAAAAAAGTCTGGAAGAAACACTGACAATATCTAAGTGTCTGTACAGTTTCTCAAAATGGCACTGTCAGTTTAATATTGCTGTGTGAGTGTGGTTCATAACATTCCATTTTTCAAATATGTAAATTTATAGTGTTCACAGAAATCACATGCACCCATAAAAAAAGGTTACTCTAAATTCCCTTAAGACAGCTCGTGGCGCTTTGAATATTTGAACCTAATGTCCAGTCAAAGGATGTAGACTTCTACAGAGTAATGTATCGAAAGCTAGAAATTAGTAGAAACAAACGACTGTGCTGCTCTCATGAAAAAAACAGGCCTTTGACAACATCGCGCATAGACCAGTACCATATTTAAATATTTGACTTCTTGAGTAAAACGACTGATCTCAAAGATCTAGGACACATAGTAGAAAAAAAGGGGTTGGTTGTG